ATTTAATTTTTAAAAAATTTTTTAAAGGCACGGGCAACTAACTTATTCATTTCCAATGACAGGCTCCCCCCACCGGGTGAGTTTGTGGAAAACGAGACTTAGTGTACCGGTTACTTGCGCCGTGACCCGGGCTGCGGCTTCGAGAGTCACGAGTGCTGCGCCGGGCGGGCTGGAGGAGCGAGTGCGCTCGGGCTCCCTTCCCTCCCGCCCTGGGCCTGAACCGCCGGGAAGAAGTTTCACTTTCCTTGGGGCTGCCCTCCCGCCGCTTCGGTCCCCAGCGGTCCTTTTCCAGAAGCTCGCGAGGTGATGATTAACTCTGGCCTCGCCTTATCTCCTCCCCGCGCGCCTCTCGGGGGACCGCACCCTCCTCGGCTGCCCGCTTCCGACAGTCCCAAGTGACGCGGGGCGTGTTTGCCCCCTGCCCTCGGCATCCGGTAGCCCGCGCCCCGCTAGCAGCCCTCGCAAACTCTCCGCTGGGTGGTAACGAGACCCCCTCTCCCCATCACTAAGCAGGCTCCTGGGGGGCGCTCGCGTAGAGCAGGCGGGAGATCCCCCGCTTGGCGAGCCCGGGTGCCCGCGGGTGCGCTCTCCCGTCCGCGCGGCTGCCAGTCGCCCTCCCGCAGCGCCCGAGCCCAGCCGGCGAGTTTGCCCCGACTAGACGTCCAGTGCACTGGCTGCAGCTCACAACAAGCCCCTCAGACTCTTGCTTGGGAAGGCCTCGGGGGAAGGGAATCTTTTCTTTCCCCTCCTTCTTTAAAAAACCTCACATAAGCTGCGGAGAAGAAAAATACCACTACGATGAGATGTATTTGAAAAAGAAAATTGGCTTTGCATAGGGTCTAGCTCCTTGGGTGCCGAGGATAGATAATCCTGGGGTGGAGGTGGGGCTTGGAAGAGAGAATATTGGCCGGAGACTGGGAAGGGGATGCTATAACAAAGTTTCACTGTATTTTTAAATATAGAAGCCTTGTGTTTATCACGAAGAAGGGGCAGCTGTGTCTGCAGCATGTGAGCTGTAAATGAAACAAAAGCGTTATATTGAATGCAAGCTGAAATTAGAAAATGGGGTGAGCTATATAATGTTTAATCTATTGTGCCTCTGGGACAAATGAAGAAGGAAAAAGTGGCTCTTGTGGAGGGTTTCTGGTCAGTGCGGTTACTAAGAACAGAAGTTTTGCGTTGCCAAACTGTTTTATAGGTTTAACTGCACAATGAGTTTTGAAATAATCTGTTAATATGATCTTCGTGATTAAGGGTTATTATGTTTACATTGTAAATAAACTCCACAACTAAAAATATTTTAAATTATCTTTATTAATTCAAATATTTGAACATTTTCTCTGTACCAAGCATCATTAGATGCTTTTGAAAGTTACTGGTGTTCATTCAGGTTCTTTATGTTAGAAGGTAGCGGATAGAATACTGAATGGAATCATAATTTGGCTTTTGTGATTAGCTATATGACCTGTGTAGATCTTTCACTTCTCTGTGCTCTGGGTTTATAATCATAAGTTCTTGATAATATACAACACAAACTTTGCTGAGCACTTCTTAAATAGGTTATGAGAATGGAAAAGTTTCATTTAAATAGTGGGATTGTGTGATTATTAAGAAACCACTTAAGAATTATGTCTGAGTTTGGAAGGGAGGAAAGACAGCTCTGCCTTGTAGTCTCCAACCAGGGCTTAATTCTTGACCTTGCATTTTGTAATAACTTGGTATCGTATTGTACCAAATGGTGCTAAAGTGAATATGGTTTTTACTGAGCACCCAGTAGCAAAAAGCTTTGCTTTGTTTGTACTTGAGGGTATGTTGAGGGGAGTGGTTTGGTGATAATGTTTCTGTCCAGGATGCAGACTCATAGAGTTTTCTACCAGGCAGCACTGAGTAAGACAGCATCTGTGCTGTGGAAGTGCTGTAGGAGCACAGAGGCGAGAAATCAGTTCTACTCAGGGAAGAGGACTGGAGGAGAGACATGGAAGGGAGAGTGTTTGTCCTGGACCTTGAAAAACTGGTTGGGTTTCTCCTAGTGGGGAATGTGAGTCAAAAAGCTGAGGTGAGGAACAAGTATGAGGTTGGCAAAGAGTCTGGTTCTGCAGGAGCACACAGTGCCTGGAGGGAGAGCCGTAAGAGATGAAGCTGGGACTAGATAACAGGTTCTTTTATCAAGGGTGTGACATTTATGTCAGTAGAGTTTTAAGAACACTTTTTGTCTCTGGGGGAAAAAAGGCAGTAATATGTGAAAATGCTTGTTTTAAAAGATCTAAGCAATGGAAAGACACATCGAATATTTTGTGTTCATAGGTTTTATGTTTAGCAATTGAATATTAATTTTTAATTAGTAGAATGGAGAAAAGCAGTCAGTTAATTAGAATTCAATGAAAAAAATGAGATCTAGGTTTAAATTATGAGGATGATTGCAGCTATGTTTTTATTGGCTTGCTTTTTAAAAAATGACCTTAATATTCTAAGAGCTGCTACTTGCTGTCAGTAAGGCATATACCTTAAATTGGTTAAGACTAGATAATAAATTTGTAAGGATTCTTCATATGCTTGTAACTCATATGAGGAACTACCAAAACACCATTGGTACTCATGCTTTAAGTGTTTTGTCTTGGGCCATAAAATAAAGTGATAACGAATTAAATGTCATGGATTTACCCAAATAGCCTCTTTAATATTTACTACTATTAGTTGCAATTAGAAGATATGTTAAAGTTCAACAAGTGTTTGCATAGATGGACACCTGTATTTAAAGAAATATAAGGTATTACCCTAGCAGGTTTTGCTCAGTGGTAGAGCATCAGTCCACAGACTGAAGGGTCCTGGGTTGGATCCCAGCCAAGGGCATGCACCTCGGTTGCAGGCTAGATTCCTGGAACCTGGAGCATGTGTGGGAGGCAACCAGTCACTGTCTCTTTCTCTCACATCAATGTTTCTCTCTCTTTCTCCTCTCTCCCTTCCACTCTCTCTGGAAAGCAGTGGAAAAAATATCCTCAAGTGAGGATAAAAATTTAAAAAAAGAAATATAAGGTATTAAAAAAATGATTGCCCAAGATTATCTGGTCTCTGCTTACCTTCCCAACTTCATCTCCTACCTTCTTTACCTCTTCATTATACTTCAGTCACACTGGCTTCCTTTTTATTCCTT